CTTGTAAATCAGATACAACACTGTGATACAACACTAGTGTTGTATAAGATTTACAACACGGTCGTCACCTTGAGACAACCCAACACTAGCAAAGGTCTCAGTTTTAGTGTCGCATCATAGACCTTCACTAGGTTTTGAAGCAATCAAAGACGGATAACAGAACTGGCTTATGCAACAGATGGCTTGCTTTCCATGTGGGATGGATAATTATTCAAAATGTTCTGTGTTGCAGTAAATTGCGCATGCTTAATAGGGACTAAACTCAGCAGTTACCTTATTTGTCATTTTTCGTCATTTATTTCACTGTAATTCATGTTAATTTGTGTTGGAGTTTTATAAGTCGTTTACAACATTCGCGTCCGTGTTGTATGGGAATTACAATCTCTCGCCTGCGGCTCGAGATTGTAATTCCCATACAACACGGCCGCTCATGTTGTAAACTATACTTACATTGTTATCAATTGTAGTGTAAATCTATTGTTGTATGAATGTATCAAAATACAAGAACACAATGCGATGCATAAATTTGTCAGAGTAACGAACAACTCTCAAGTAAACAGGCCCCTTTTTCGAGCGGTGGAATTAAATAAACTTTATCAAATTGATAAAATAAAGTAGTCGTGATATTGTAAACATGCCTTTATTTAAACATAACAAAATATAATTGTATAATCATACATCGTGCATGTTGTCATCATTTTTTTTTTGTGTACAGTCATTAGCAAATATTCTGACCACTAACATATATCGGGTGCATTGTGATACACGTGATTTTTCAAAAACAGTGTAAATTTTTTAGTTAAGAGTTACCCAAAGATATTGTACATTGAATTAAGGATTTAAAATGTCATCCCTATACATGTATATTGATAAGTATATTAGTATTTAAGAGTTTCTTCTACATTGTGCACCTCGTTGTACTTCATAGTGAGGTCATTAAACCCGTGAAACAAAACTTGATGATCAAAGTGTAATAGTAGAATAGAGTGAGATCATCAAATTTGTAAAACAAAATATGAATATTAAAGTGTGATAGTCAAATAGACATAAAAGAAAACAAATAGAGTCATTTTCATCCATCTTTGAAATATTACTCCCTATTAGCTCCCAATAGTTTAACTTATGACATTCGAGAAACTAATTAGTYCAACACAGTTTTGATTTTGCCTTTTGGTAGCCTACTACACCTTAATAGTTACTATTAAACACTAACTAGTAGTAATTGTTTCACAGACGAATAAAAATGATTCTAATATACTTAGATTGGCTTTCACACTCAAACTTCAAACTGTTAATACATTTTTACTACTAAAATATTGTCTTGATTAACTAAGTAATCAAAAAATGATAGAGTGAAACAAAACTTGTCTATTCAAATGTTATTATCAAATAGACACAACAGAAAACAATGCAATTATAGCGTACTAAGGTGTGTTAATAATTATCCATTTCACGGGTTTTTGACTTCAGTCTAGAATGCTAACACTAAACCATGAAAAAAGACTCTCAAAATAGTGCTAAATAGCACAATATAATGTTGATTAGTCAATAGAAAACAAATAAAATCGTATAATTCAGTTCAATTTAGTACTATTYAATTACATTTTCCATGATCACAGTGTTTGCAATCGAGCAAAGTCTAATACCTATCTTTTGTACTTATCTTTCTATGTTTCACAGATTTAGGGCTTTGATTCTACATAATATACACTATATTGAGTTTCACGGGTTTGTGAAACTAGACTTTCAAAACAACTAAATTTATATGGAACTGGGCCAGATGCATCCCTCTATTCCTAATTTCTATTTTCTTTTCTTATAGTATCGTTTTTTTTTTTTTGTTTTTAGTTATTTTCAG